ATCATAACGGATTGTCATGTACAAAATGTGTTCTTACCCGTAGTGTGGCGTAAACAAAACCTACATCAATCGTCGCGAACAGTTATCAACACCTATGTGTACTGACTGCGTTTCAACTTACTTTTCGAAATCCCCGCTTAAGCATGAACGCATTCAACGGCTGTCCGGATTGCCTGACTTCGCAGTATGCGGGATGCAAATAACCGAACCACAGTCTGAGATTCATGGAATAGATCTCTTCCAAATTATTGAAAATCCGTTGTACATCCACTTTGTGAAACTGATATTTTTGGATCCTTATAAACGGATCAAAATAAGTCTGTCAGGGAGAAAACAAGAATGATGTAATACGAGTTTTCGTATTCCGTCTAAGTGGTGTAGACAGCACACAATCTGCTAGTAGAGTCACATAGACCAGAGTTTTGGATTGATACACTACTTTTTAGCATGACTATAAAGTGCCTGTTTCGATGGCTACTCAAACTTTTCATCATCCAGTAATACTTCCCCGCGAAACTCGTCAAAATTCACTCGAATGCACATCTCTAACGTCGAGTGCTTCGCTAATGCCGGTCACGTTATTATTTCATTATTGGCATAATTGGTTCGCACGATGCGGAATGCAGTCAATTATGTTGATGTTATCAGCCCACAAAGATGGAAAGTTCATCCGTGCATTCACATCAGGGTTTTGAGTTCGATCCCTGGGAAACACGCTGAACAGGACACTTGATTGGGTTTTTTATTCAAACCTTTTCAGTACTCACAATTTTTGTATTAGTCACGATATATTAGAAGTTAAACTTGAACATTGTCTTCGCTTCTGATGCAGATTTGTGCCAATTATCTCCACACACACACATACCGTGTGAGGTTAAATTATATCGAAATTTAAAAACAATGGAGAATATAAGTCTCATCTGATCTGAATTGAATTGATGATAATAACTAACAAAAATCTAAAACTACTATTCCAAACATTTAACTGTGATAATACAAATGAATTTTACTTTGGTGTTTTACGACTAATTGATAGTTTAGAGTGTTCTGCTGAACTAAATCAGAACTCCAGTTTTATTGTAGGATTTCAGGCACTCGATGTCTATGGATACCAGTTAGCGCAATGCAATTGAACAGATAAAAGTGAATAACCTTAAGGTTAGGGATATTAATGTCACTTTACGATTTAATGTGACCATCGGGTGGTGAGCAGCAAGCCTTGTTGATACGGTTTTATGATTATGATATGGAAGTGTTATTTCTTTAGAACAAAATGGTGGCTGGCAATCGAAACAGAGTATCAGATATAGAATATTTTCTCATTACTCATTGGATGAAATGGAATCCGCTATATCTTATCCACAGTTTGGGATCCTTATTGTGTAGTTGAACCTCAATCGTTTCTCTTGTACCAAGTTGCTTACGACAAATACAATTCACAGAAATTCCGCAAACATGGCTAGACTGCTATCATTTTGTTAGTAGCTAAAATCCAACCACTGAGCAACTTGCATAGACGAACAGTTACCATCCCCACAGACCAAAGAGGTGGCTTGTACGGTTGTTGGACAATTACCTTCGTCATTCCTCTGAAAAATCTAATGATTTGAAATTCCCCCGGTAAACTTTAGGGCTTTGTCTAATTTTTATTGACTGTGAAAAGTGGCGTTCGTCTTCTGAACCGAGAATACGGAATAGTCAAACTGACCAGAGTTACCTGCTCAACGATAGGGTTTCTCAAAATGATTGACTACTCAAGCGACTCCTAGCAATACAATTCAATATCAGCAGTGAAAATTATTATAGTTTAACCGAGTTGATGAAACTAAACTTTTCTTTTACGATTTATTCCATACCGTCAGCATTTATTTTTCATTCCATCAGGATTGAAGAAAAAACGGATATTCACAATTCGTTAAATCTTCACAAACACTGACCTAAAAAAAGGCACACGTGCATTTACAGTACACCACAACTGCAAAACCTTTGTGAATGGATTTGGACCGATGAACCGTGAACAATAAAATTAGAATCAAAACGTTCAGTCTACCAAAAGCGAATCGATTTTTGTCAATAGTTTTGGGGCGAATAACAGATGACCCATACAAAGACGGGCCCTAACAGCTGTCTATGCTTCCGAAAACGACACCTTTCTGAATAACGTGCCTCAAAGCCTAAACTAAGCTGAGTAAAGTAAACTTTTCCGACTACTCAAATTAGAAATTTGGTGCCTGTTTTCATTGATTCAGATCTAAAGAATAACCAACTTCAAATTCATAAAATTTACTAGATTCCTTTGATTTGTGTCTGGCTCGAACCAGAGGATCATGTCCAATCTAAAACGTCTCCTACGTGTTACTAAATTGTTTTATTTCTAGGATGAGCCACGCTCTCTGAATAGCCCATCATAAATTGATTTATTCGGGATGAATCTTTTCTTTCTCACACATTGCAAGCCTTCTCGATTTTCGCTGATTCTTATCTCACTGACATCCCAGATTCCAGCAATAGTTGTCGCAATTTCTCGGGAAATTGTACTTCTCACAACACGTTATCATCTGCCAGTTACCATGATACTCTAAACCTTGCAACGTATTCAAGGTAGTTGCATTTTATGTCTTTCTCCTGCTCAATTGATTCACATTCCGGAACATTGTTCTTTTTGTCTGCGAAACCGCGTGGAACTAAATTACAGCTCATTTTTTCGCTTGTCTTTATTGATTTATTTGAGGCGTGTGATGACAATGGATACAGATTTGTGAACCGACCAGATAAAAGAAATTAACCGGAGTGTATGGGGAGATGGATGACTGTTTACGGTTTCATGCAAGTTACGATGAGTGGTTGGCTAACCTAAACAAGTTCATGATAGTATTTTGCGGTTATGCTACCAAAGTTTTAGCTCTTCCACTTTTAAAACAAGCTGGTATCCTCAAATCCAAACAGAGCATCAGACAGGGTTGTTTCCATTACTCATGGGATAAAAGTAAATCTGCGATTTTATTGAGTCTTCGGTCTTTTTTGCGCTTCCGACCCGCGGTCTTTTCTTTTGTGAGGTGTCAGTTGCAATTCGGACACTTTTCACAAACGTAAGAATACTACTGTCACTTTGTTAGTAGTTAAAGTGAATGAATTAATTTTCGAGGATAAATGTTCTGGACATCTAATCACATCTTCTTCTAGGTGCACAAAGTCCACCTATAATAACCAACTTCCTTCAGACGGGAAACTGATATGCACGAAAATGAACGAAAATGAAGGAAGATTAATCGAGCCACTCACGTCAAGAATCGCTTTCAAATAGTTGATGTAATTCAATTCGGTGACGAACACTTCCCAGATCGCGGACTGTCGTTTTTGCTCATTTGTGGACAAGGGCTGTACAGTGGATGACAGTGCCCAGATGATCAAGAGTGAAGGGAAATTAAAAGCAAGGTAAATTAGATGCAGCAGAATCAGTTATATCTTTCTGGTGGTGTTACATTGACTCTTTTTTCGGTGTAATCAAAACATTGGTAATGGAAACCAGCACATGCATCTGCAAGTCCCTTTGTGATAAAAATAAAACCACACATGAAAACATGCCTCCGGAAGCCTCAGAATGATCAGTTAGGGTGTCTTCGGTTGTACCTGGTCACTGTTCCCTTGCAACTAACGAAATGCTCCAAGAGCCTCAAACAGCCTCTGTTAAGAAAGCCCTACTCACTCCTTTCACATGGCGGAGGTGTTTTGTCCACAAAAGGGAGAGGAATAAAAGCTAATATCCGGAGCTAACTGGATCGGTGAACCCATGGCAGTGCACCTAGGGTAATTGCCGAAATAACCCCTGATTCCAAACCAACCATGAATAAGGATAAGGACCACACTCACTTGTTTGTGGCAGTTGTCCTGAGTTCAATTGGCATCTAGGTGTATCAAGCCTCTAGAACAGTTGACCCCCGTCCAGGGGGTGTATGATCCTATGAACGGGACACTGGCCCCGAATGGATTACGAATTTCACACACCGCCTCAATGCCTTGCGGGTCAAACCGGTTAGTCAAAGGCTGTGCATTCCCCAAATAATTCACCTAACTTGGCTTGGGTAAACTGACAGTTTTTGTAAAGATTATTGTACCATGATTTTTTTAGGCAAATAGCCTGGCCTCAGACGTGTGAGAAATACATAAATACATCTTGGCAAATTGCAAACAGAGTGCCAGAAACTTGAGCACGGATCCAGGAAGTATCACTTATTGGTCATGATCGAAGAGAAGGTATACATTTGTCATACGATTGTTAATAAATTTTTCATGTTTAAAACGATGTTAGATACCCTGACGTGTACAGATGTTTCTGCACGTTTCTGGGTTTCGCTGACTGCTAGACTCACTCCACGAAACATGTGATCACAAAGTTTGATGTAAAAGGTCGAATATGTTGCTCACCGACCTGCAGAGTTTATCGATCAATCCAAATGATTATCTCATCGAACCGATCACGTGACCTTTGATTGGGTGAACCAGTCTACCTTCATTAAATGATTCCATACACGAATTGGGAGTTACTAGCTCCGGGTGCTAATAACAGTATGATTTAAAATAGGGCAACGACACAGAATCAGGTACTGTAAACTTCCATTGTTGTGAATGATTTTTATTTGTAGGGGAGGGGACGAACAGAGATGTTGCGAATAATCCGCAGGTCGTAGGTTGTTCTCTGGTCTGTTTGGAACTGCTTTGCTCTAAATAAACCCTGTACATCTGTAAAACGATAGTTATTTGCTTTTCAATTGCAACGGTGACTTTTGTTGATGTCAGACTCCGTTCGTTTAAAAGCTTGCTTAAATAGTGACTGTAATTTCTAATTCTGAGCATGGAAACCCCCTGAAAATGACGAAGCAGGTGTGTAGTGACCTCTATTGGTGATCATACAGATATTACGATTCCCATATGTGTCAGCAAGCGGACCGGAAACTTAAGAGGTTCAACAATCAGCACTTGCTGACAAGGTTGATTGCTGCTATCCTCTATTTCGCTCACACTTGCGGTCCATTTTGGAGAAAGTATCCTCAAGATGGCTACGATTTTAACCAACCCGAAACACAAAATGCATTGAAATTTGTATACTCAGGAGGTTCGGGAAAAGCACATAGTACTAACGCATGAAGTTGCGGTTGGTTAGACCATCCTAATGGCAGAGTTTGACATGCCACCACGGTTTCGTCTCCCGACGAAAAGAGGTGTGGTGCTTGATGGACATTTGTCGAGACGATTCTAAGAAATTCCTAATGTTTGTCACCGCATTGTTTTGTCTAATCCTATTGGCTGTATCCAGGTAGTCGATTACATAATTATAATTACTGTAATGTGATAATCATCTCTTGCTCATCTCTTATTGGCTATTTGGGTTCAGAGCACTTGTTTCATATCCGTTGCAGATTGGTTTTGAACCTCGTATCCACAGAAAACCTCTTGTACGTTGATTGTTTCAACCCCCCACGGGTTGAGCTCACATTCGACCAGTTATTCCTGGTTACATCCCTTTAGATAGTGCGAACTTTGCATACTGCAAAAATAACGGAAAAGTAGTATTCAAGATGGGTGTTCCGCGGTGAGTACCATTGATAAAATTAGTTTCACAAATAGCAGTTGAAAGCTAAGTTGTGCTTCTGCATGAAAGTTTGACCAAGGTCCTCGGTCAACATGTAGACGCCAAAATCGTCTGAAACTGTTGCCTAAGAGGTGCAGACTGTCTCCATTATTCATTTCCAGGCTCGGCGCCAGTTTGTCCAATCACCGGCCAAAAGGTTTATATTTCGTATATTTCGAAGATTGTGGTAGAACACAGTTTTCGCCTTCGGTTCATAGTTACTCATGAGTAGTAGGAATAGTATCATTGAAAAGTAATATACATTCGTACTGTCCCTTACTTCAGACTCTATTTTCATGCACTATTTCGGGAACCATCTAAGTACCTGTATAGCTCCAGACTCGGATTTCGCTCTAATGGGAGACCATCGATGCAACACAGTGCACTGTATAGATACCGCTTCACCCGGGTATTCTACTCCATTCCATGGTGTTTGTGTGTGTGCGTGCGCGTGTGTGGTATCACCGTACTACTCAGTTCACAACTGGGGCTAATAGAGACGATCAAGTGAAGTTTGTTCACAGTTCGACACCTGAGTTGGTCAGTCAATTAGTTCATTGGTCCTAACTGGGAGAAACAGCATGCAACCCTGGTGAATCAGGTTGATCGGACCAACCAAGCATTGTGCTTAAACTCGGAGCCGAATCTTCAGCTGGGAAGAACGTAGGCAGATCAAACAAAAAAAAGCCATGGGTTCGAATTCATATAAAACATACGTTCGGCAAAATTTTGAAAAACGGATTAAACAGTTGACCGTGTTGATTAGTTTACAATGGAGTAGGACACGGTGCTTCGTTTGTACTTGAGGCCTTCAGGACAACCCTGACACGCGTCTGCTAGTTGACGTGGGCACTTGGATCCTCAGCACCCCGCACCCTCCTCTAAGAAAAAGCAGCGTAAGGTACCAAATTAGAAAATCAACCAGGGCTGAAAGATTCAAGCAGTGCTGCTAAGACCTCTCATCATCCATTTTTTCCTTCATAAACGGTTGGAGCCACGTTGGAGACCAGTCGATTTTGTGTTGCCAAATCTAAAACGGGCTGGTTGTGTACTAGATACAATCATTCGTTTCACTCAGAATAAGATACGTACCACCCCCTGCCACTCCCCTTAGGGTGGGGGGTGAGCAGATAGTTTATACAGGTGAGAAACGAAGTAGCAGCTTACCGTCTCGGTTTTGACAAAAACATCCCAGTTTTTCTCCAAACTGAATAAATGTTTCCGGTTTTCGTCCGATATGATTCCAATCGGGTTCGATTTCCGGTTGAGCGTACCATACGGGGTAGCTGACATAGGTGTGGTTGAACAGACAGTTTCCCCGCCCAAATCGATACACTTCGGAGTAAATTCCATCAAGCATTTGAATTCTAAATGCTGCGCGGTACTCGGCTTGTTGTCTTCCATCACGCTGTTCCAGTTGGAGAAAAGTTGCACAGCGTTGGAATTGTCCTGAGAAAATGTGTTTTGTATTATACTAGTGAATGTTGTACAAAAACATAGGAAATGAGGCATCCCCCTCATGCCGCCAGAAAATAAATTTCAAACATAAAAGCATTGTTATTTTGAGTTTATTCATGAGGTGTTCCAGTAATTTACGTCCAAAATCGAACGTGTCTGAAAAATAACAACTTTGACCCCTTACTGTATCTATGAAGTTTATTTGACAATTGTGCATTTCAGTCTCAACTGAAAACTTACCGATCCAGTGGATGCCCGTTTTTCTAGTTTCCTCAGCGGAGAGCCTGGAGTGTTTGGCGTAGGTAAATTTCGCCCGATTTCTAAATGAGGCAGCAGCAGAAGAAGAACGATAAGGTGAATTGCAAGACAGATCAAGGGAGCAGAAATAAACAGTTTAAAGGATATCTATCTCCATAGCGACGGAGCTGGATTTCCGAATGATTCGTGACCAAACCGTCAAGTCAATATTCTCCTTGTTTTTGTTCATGTACGGATCAAAACCCCGTACAGCTTTGATATTATTCTCAATGCTATGTAACATTGGGTTCCGATAGTTTACAGTTCACCTTGTTTATCATTTTAATTCTTTTTATTGAATATATAAGGATACAGTTCCGAGAAGAAGGAAAGGATCAAACCAAGGGTGCCATACAGCACACTGTGGGGAAAGTCAGGCGACGGTGTTGGTAGTGATGGGTTTCGAACACACGTCCTCTGGGGTGACGATTTGGTGACGCTACCATGAAGGTTTCCTCCGCCCAATAATCAATTATCGCATGCATACTTTCATTCACTTGTGTGCTTCATCTGTGTTATGGGATCTCGTGACTTCACCACATCTTTTCCCGTAGGTACTACACCTTTTCCCATCCAGATTTGGCCAAAACCCGCATTGCTTTAGCCTCAACTCACAATCTTTTAACCTTGGCCCCACAATCCGTTAGCCCGTGATTGTTATCATCAGTTTAATACCGCTGCAACACGTGACCTAATTGCCACTGCAGCGACTCGAGAATTAAGCATTTCGTTGGAATCTTGAAGGAAAAAGTTATTTTAAAGGAGTTATCTTTTATGAACGATGTTTATTATCCTCGACATGTTAATATACCCACATGTCAAGAACAGATTTCACTATATGTGGAGATACAGAACGGTTAGCATGTACCATTTTATGATGTCACTTATTGATTTACTTCAGGGCTTGTGGATGTAAGATGATGCGCTGTTTGTGGTACAATTAGGATTTTTACTCACAGGAGTATTGCATGTTATACGAAAACACTGAAGCTGTAGGAGATTTGTCAACTGTTTTGATGATACAGACATATTCGCTTAGACCTTTTCCAATCGACATGTGTGGTGTGCGACCGTCACACCTATTCAATTATTAGCCAAGCTTTGCAGCACCAACATTTGCAGAAAACAATTTTTTTCAAAATGCGTTACCGTCGGAATATTTTGAGTACTTTTTGATCTGACTCGCCTACAGTGATATGAATAATGTTTGTTCATCGGGGCTAAAGGACTACGGGTCGTGGCTAATTTATTGCAGGTTTTGGCCAGAGGATTCCGGGTTGGGGCTGAATGCCTGCGGTTTGGGGCTAAAGCTGAATAAGAAAAGTATAGTTATAACGTTTTTTATTTCCTTTTTCAGTGCTAATGGAAAATGTCAGTTCGCCTTTTGTTGTACAACTCACCTTAAAGGTTCTCTGCCCTGTATATTGATGCATGACGCGGGGCCTTTTGAATTTGGCCGCATCATTTATCTCGAAAAATCATATTTACACTTTTGTGGATTTATTTC